CACGTCTTGGACAATCACATGAGCAGTTCTGTCAGCAGCCAGTCCCACCACTGCTGAACACCACCCAGACATCTTCAGAAAACCTCGGTAACCTCGGCCTGGGAGAGCACCAGGCTTCAGCTGAGCACCGTCTCTCTAGGAAAGCCCCACAGACGCCTTGTCCAGCTTCCAATCCTGATGCAATGACTAAAGACCAGGAACTCTATGGCTCTGTTTCAAGTTTGTGTCACTGGACCATTGTATTCATGAGTGTGTAAATTGTGGTTTTGAGTCAAAATATACTGTGCCCTTCCCTCCCCCCCTGCTCTAATAATGGACTTACAAAAGATGCTGTCCCATGCTGCCCCTGGTATTAAAGACTTTACAATGGACCATTCATCAAGCAATCCTTTTCCTTCTTTTCCTCAATTATTAAAGCTGATGACTTACACAACTGCACTGGCTTCCAACACCACGTTTCAGTCTAAGCTCCTTCACAAAAAGAAAAAAAAAAGGCTAAAAATTCCTCTTTAAGAAGCTTTTCATGTCAAATTACACACCAATCAGTACCTACAAACACTAACAGAACTAGTAAAAAGGTATACCCAGATGTGCCTGGATTAAATGCTGTCTGAAGCAAAGTAAGATAAACTTGAAAGCTAAAAAAGAATATTAAATGCAGTTCCACAGGTGGTCCAAGTTACTCTCTCCACCTGCTTTGTGTCAGGAATCAGTTCCATTACACACACACTTGAGTCAAAAAAACACAAACCAAACAAACCCCCCAAAATACCAAACAACAACAACAACATCCCACCCCAACAAAAAACAAAGGGAAAAAATTCTACTTAAAAAATTTAGAACTGTACCTGATAAACAACCCACCCCAAAACACAAAGAAGTCTTCAAGTAAAATTGGTCTTATAATACCAATCTTTATTCAAGACAGATTGAAAATAAATACTTGCCAGTAGTTCACTCTGAAAACAGAAATCCAAAATTATCTACTTTATCAGTATTAACCATTTTAAAATTAGCTGATGAGCTCCAGCTCATTTCAAGTACACACAAATTTGAAGGCAACAGAGAATGTCTTTCTCATTGTTAAGTGTGTGTATACATACACAGATATTGTATATATACACATATTTTGCTGCCACCTTGTGAACAGTCTCTGCATAGGGAGGTTTGGTTCATACAGACCCAACTCTGCCATCTTTGTTCACATTTAGACCACCTGACTTTATAAATCTACTTTTTAAATGGGTGCTCAATGTGACAAAGGATGGCTGAATCAAGTGCTTAGTGCAGAAAATTTTAAAAGACTGAATATGATAGCTCTTAGTCTTCCATGATTTCCATGCACTTGTGTTGTCCCAGTTTATTGCCCACAGCCATTATGGAAAACATCACTAAATTCTTTCTGATAAAAATATTGCAGCTTTGCATCCAAGTTGTATGGCTGTCTTCAAAACAGAATAAGCTGGTGTCTGTAAAAAGAATAAAAGATTAAATACATCTCCTGAAATGTTTTGCTTGAACCAGAATGTGATAAGGAATAGTAAGCATCGTATAAAACCAAAAAACACACACACACAAAAAAATCCCACCTGCATTTGTAGCCTGACTGACTACGGAGAAAACTAAACTAAAATCTATCAGCTCTGCAGAATATTTCCATTTCTTCACAAGTGTAGGTCAGGAGAAAAATAAGGAGAGAAGTCACACATTCCTCATCTATTATTCCAGGGAGCACAGAATTTAGTTCAGTATTTCACACGTCCTAACAGGGTTGTGATCACCTACCCAGATGATAAAACAAGTTCCCAGCTGTATGGGTAGCACTTATTAGCCTTATCTTCTAAAATATCTAATCTAAACTTAAATTAAAATTTAAAATTTTGCAGAGGACACCTCTTGGCAAAACACAATCACTTTAACACCCGACATGAGTTCCAACAGATTCAGTTCTCTTCCACAAAAAAGGAAAGCTGTAATATTGCAAGGCTTTTTTATATGGATCTTTGGGAAAGAGTAACATTGCACTTACTGCTTCTGCATCGTGCTCTATCCCAATGTCGTGGTGCTCCCATTCATCATCCCGAAATTGCTTTATTACCTTTAAAAATAGCAGGTAATTAGAAATCTACTTTGCAGACTAATCAAGGCAGCTGGTACACAAAACTATCTGCTGTTGACCACTGCATTCACCACAGCAAGCTGAGGTCTCTCAAGAACTTCTCAAAGATCTGAATCTCTAATTCAGGAAGAAAGGAATTCTTCACAGTATTCTCCAAAAAAAAGTCTTTAAGGCCAAGGTGCTGTTTAATTCTGTCTTTTTCACTGTTTCAAAACCAACTATAGTTACAGTAAACTTTTAACAGTGATTAGTTTCACACACACACATGATCCTGACAATCTGAATAAGGAAACTACAGTCCCTTTCTTCTATGGGGTGTTTCCCTGTAGGCCAACTGGGCTTTTGTCTGTTCTAAAGAATTCTTTTTTTCTGTTTGAGCCAAAAGGCACTGTGTGCAGCTCTAGGCCCTGCAGTTTAATGAGGATGTGAAGGTACCTGAATGCACTCAGAGCAGGGCAACAAAGCTACTACGCAATCATATTTCTGCTTTTTATTTCCCTTTCAGACCCTTCCTTTCAATTAAAATTAATCAAAATTAAAGCACAATTCTCCCACTCAAAAGGGAAACACTGAATTACTGAAAGCATGCTGAAGATAACCAACATACATTTTAATTTTAGTCCTTGATCAATTTAATGCTGCTGAAGGAAAAAACCATCCTTTTATTTTAGAAGTTTCTGTTGACTTCAGTATTCTAAGTGACAGAACAAAGAGATCTACTGTAAATTCTACAAGCATGTTATTTTTAAAAGACTAAAGTCGCATTAAGTAATTCAATGAATTTGTTAAACTACTTTTTAAGTCAATTAAATACCTGCAGTAGTTCTTCGTACTTTTCTGGATCCTCTTCCATGAGAGTTCGGATCTGGTTGTTGTAGTGCTCTGATATACTCTCTTCCACTGCCACTGTGCAAGCCATGGCACCCTTCTTTCCCAGTAAAGCACTTCCAGCCCCTGTGATTGTGGTGCCAAACATACCAACACAATGAATTCTGAAGCAATACAAATAATTTGCACATTTATAGACTTCACAAAACAATAATAATAAACCCCACCTAAAACAAAACCTGCTACATTCCAGAAAGGCAATAAAACAGTGGGTCGGACTCTGTATGCAACCATGAGCTCATTGAACTTTTTCAGGTGGTCTTTTTCTTGATCCCACATTTGCTGCAAAAGAGCCAGATCACAGTGAAGTACAAAACCACAGGAGTTAAATGCTTCCAATAAGACTAATAAACACAGAGAAAACCAAAACAAGACACACTGTGACAGCTGAAGTAACACTGTAACATCACAGAGAAAAAGTGAAGAAGGGCAGAGGAGGACAGGTACAAAAAGGCAATATAAAAATATTTAGCTAAAGAGGACAACACTACAGTATCTGTAGTACTGGTAACTTCCTTAGCAAATGATCCCACCCTCTTCAGAAACCCACACGTTTGGACGTGCTTAGAAAGAAATGTAGAACAAACTTGCCACGAAAGCGACGACCTTTCACCTTCATCCGGCCGCTGTTAACTAGACTCAAATTAAACAAGCACAACGCTCGCCCCCAGACCCACTGACCTGGATGACCGGCCCCACGCTCGACCGGCCCAGCACGGCCATCTGCCCCGCATAGATGCGGTTGGCCCCGTACTCCCCGGCGTGGTCCACGCGGATGATGCGGTCGATGACGGGCCTGTTGATGCCCTGCGGAGCCGCCCGCGTGCTGCACGGCCTGGGGGCGGCCCCGCCGGCGGGCACAGCCCGCGGACCTGTGGGAGAGACAAAGCTGACACGAGCCCCGCTGCCCGCTGCGGGGCCGGGCAGGGAGGGGAGCGGAGCGGAGCTGCGCCCGTACCAGGCCCGCAGCGGAGGCACCGGCGCAGCCCCAGCGAGGGCCGCACCGCCGGGGCCGCCACCACCGCCGCCATCGCGCCCATGCACGGCGGCTCCTCCTCTACGTCACACCGCGCGCCGACCTCCCGCCCTATCACGACTCCGATTGGCTCCCCCGAGCAGCCGCATTGGGCAGCCCAGCTGTCCGTCAGGGCTGGCGTCCCCGGTTGCCATGGGAACGGGGGGCGGGGATCGCTGGTCCCGCCCCCGGCGCCGAGGCTGGAATGGTGGGCGGAGCGCTGAGGGCGAGGCGTCCCCCCTGCCCGCGAGCACCGCGACCCGCTGTGAAACATGGCACCCTGGAGTAAAAAATACAGCATTTATTGAACGCTGATCTCTTTAAAACGAAGGCAGAAGACATCCCGGAGCGTTACATAAAAATGCTGGTGCCTCACATTTAACTAAAGAGCAGATTTCAAGGAGTTATACACGATTCTGTACAGAAAATCCTTAACATTAATCTTTAAATAAAGGAATCTCTTAGTAGCCTCTTGGGACTGTCCCAGCAGTGCAGATAAGTGAGAAGAAACGTTAAATTAAGGGGCAGTGACACACAGTGTTACCAACCGATAACTCTTAAATATTCACATTTTAGAGTAAAAAGAGCAGTGGTCAAGGTGCTCACACAAGAATAAAACACAAATAATAATGCTTTAAAACACTAAAAAGAGGGGGGAAAAAGAAAAAAATGCCCCTCCACAGCAGCTGGTGCCTGAGCAGTGCTGTGCCTGCTGACCTGACTGAACGTCCCTTATACACACCAGTGTTTATTCAGAGCTCTTTTATCACAGTTATTGTTTTCTCTGAGCCATTTTGTGACATTATCCAGTGTTCAACTGCACTTGCTACTTCAGAGCAAAAGAAAAATAAAAAAGCCTCATCTCTAAAAATATTTAGAAAACTGATTTCAAACCCATCTGCGGTATTTTCTTCTCCTATGCGCCGTTTCGAAATACTTGTCTACATCTTTCTTTTCCTTTGGTTTTAAAAGAAGTTTCTTAGAGCATAATTTGTAAAAACAGTACAAAAGAGTTTCCGTTATGATCACATTTTACCCAAACTCCTTGGAAAAACGGGGACTTAACAAACCCCAACAAACCTGAAACTATAGCAGCAATGAAGTGTCCTACCACACAGCCTTTTTGAACAGGTCTCACACAGTATAAATTAGCTGAATTTCCAGTTTTGGAAACTTCAGGCCCCACTAGCTCAATCAAGACTAAGACCACAAGCATCCATATTCCACAGTCTGCAGTGCCAGGGTGCCAATCAGATGCTCAATTTTTTGGTGCTGCAGACTCTTCTATTCTTATCTTGTGGTTCTGTGAGTTTCAGGAAGTCAAGCTCTTCTGGCTTTCGTGGTTTTCAAGGTTGCCTCTTAGCTTCTGTTATCTTCCTGATTAGGAACATCTTGTCACGACTCTCCTGGAAATACAGAATAAAAAGAATGCTCTAGATGAACAGTGTTAATACAAGTTATCTATGAACAGCTCATTTCTTTATTAGAAATAAAGAGGTGTGCTCACTACATTGTACTCTCATTAGTGGCTCCCAGAACACTCTCAACCGCCTGAACAATTTTAAGTTTACAATAGTCTTGACTTCATTTATCTCACATTACATCACATATAAACAGTTCTGCATTAAGCCTAGCAAAAGCATCTCACACACCTTAAAATTTAAAACCCTTCTTCCAAGAAGTCTAAAAACAGCAAGCAAACAAAAATAAAAAGCATGCAAGAATTTTCAGAATTCCCAACTGATCTGCAAACCCTTCAAAAAGCAGCAAGGCTTTTGTTCCTAAATTCCCTACTCCTCAAAAATCTCTCTATGGCAGTTTTTTTCTACAGATGGGTTGTTAAATTCTGTATCTAAAAGAAGCATTACCAAGAAATAGGCTGTTTCCTAAGAAAGTGAGAAGTCTTATCAGTGAGGCTGGGTTCTGACTCGAGCACTTTGTCACACAAGTGCCGCCAAACCTGGCAGTGGCTTTTGATGGCCACAGAGCAGCATTTCTGCACTAGCACCCTTCTCCAAAGGACTGATTAGCAGGGACTTGTTCCACTTTCAGTATTTGCTCAAGAGGTGCTGGGACCTGCACTCAGGAACAAGACCAGACACAATGTGGTAGAAATACAGGCCTGGAGGGAAGGGTAGGGAGTTGGGTGCCTGTTTGTGAGGGCAGAGAAGGAAACAGAAGTGGGGGTTGTGCAAGGTAGTGGAGGGGACAGGAAGCACAAGATTCAGGTTCTCTTTTGGCAGAAAAAACACAACAGATGGGTGGATTTAAGCAAGACAACAGATGAAAAACAGGGACACGGCTTCTCAGAGGCCTATCTCTTCCATGTGCATTGCCTGATATAACCAGACCACGGCGCATTTGCAGCTGATACCAAGGAAATTGAACTCCACTGAGAAATACCACGAGTCTTTGGTTATTTTTCCTATGCGATTTGTAAAACATTCTCCACTGCCTGTGCAAACACCAGCTATCCAGAAGACCATACAAATCGCTGTTCCTTCTGCATGCCTCATTTCTGTGCCCCCAAAGTTCTCTCTGTTGCGTCAGTAAACTGGGTCAAATCTCACCAAAGCCAGTTGTTCTTCCAGCCGCTCAACCACTCGTTTGTGCGCTCCAGCCAAGGCCATGACATAGAACATAACGAGGCTGCAAACAACAAACACGGTATGTCAGCATCATGCAGAACACCATCCGTCACAAAAAAGGCTGTTATGGGCTAGAGAAATGGTGAGTTTGTGGGTTCAGATGTTGGAGAAAAGAAACATTTTTTAAAAAAAAATCGATATGCTGCTGGGGTAGGTTGGGCGTAGCTCTGCTCAAAAGCATTTGCTGAGAGATTTTTGCTGCCAGCAGGCAGGGCGTGTGTTAGGGAGTGCCAGGGGACGGAGAGGCACAACACAGATGTTACAGGCTGCATTCTGACAGCTCTGTCTAGACTGCCAGTTCCTGCCCTGCTCCAGGTGTATGTATAGGGGCGGTTGTTCCTCAGAAATTAAATTTAATGAGGCTTCACTGGAGCAACTTTGCTCCCACTGGGGTTGCTAACTAAGGTAAGCAGCCACAGAAGAATTTGGCAGCCATTCCTTATAGCATATATCCCAATGTGACTCCGTGACTGATTATCCACAGTGCGTTAAATGATGGAAAATAGCAAGAACCAGAGCGGTAGAAATGCCTATACAAATCACGTATCTTTTTTCCAAATAATAAGCAGTAGGGTAGTAGTGCAAGTCATCCTTCACCTTTTACACCAGCTTGATGATAAAGTAAAAAAAAGAAAAGAAAAAAACAAACAAAGAGGACTTGAGATTTCCTATATATGTAATAACAGGTTCAGTTCAGGAAAACACAAACATGGGCTATGAAAGAAAAGGCTGGGTGGAGTCCAAAATAAACTGCATAGTTTCTCAAGTGTACAAGTTGTAGAAAGCATCAGGTGACCTCTAACCTTAAAAATGTTATGATTCTATACTGAATTTTATATTACAAAATGACTGTCTTGAGAGTTTTGTTTAATGTTCGTTTGGTGTTTTAAAACTAAGGTTTGTGGATAGGAATTGTGATCACAGAGCTTGCAATGCTAACTTGCAGAGGATTTGCAGTTAACATTTTTGAGAAGGACACTGTTAGATATGGGAAGTGAGAAGAAATGGAATAAAGACAATGAGTGCAAAGACATAAGGAATGAAGATTCATGTGTGCTTCGGTGCTTTTGACTGCAAGTGAAAAATCTGGTCTAATAAATGTTTGGTACTAGTTCAGTAAGGAAGGAAATGAAGGTGCATAAGTGAATCAGGTCTCCACAGTACTCACCAAATGACCATAAAAAGAGGCACTGCAAAGGCTTCTGATGCCATGCCAAAAAGGACCTGCTGCAGACCTTTTGGAAATCCACGTATTGTATCTGGAACAATTTCCCATGAAGTGTTAAAATTCCTGAATGGCCCACATGCCTTGGAGGAGGGGATACTGTCAAAGAAGCAGAACAGAAAGAAGATGTTACACCAAAATGTAAAGATGAAATAATCCAACACAAGCCCAGCACCATTTTGCCGATGGGGTAAAAGTGTCCTGTGTCTTTAAAACTGTAAGTTTTGTTTATATAAACTGAGTTATAATTTGATGTATTATACACTATAAATTTCATTCCAATTAATCATTCCAAAGTCGTGTGTCTGCTTTTATGGAACTGACAACCTCAGAACAAGTGTCACCTTCAGCAAAGTTAAGCTGTCACTTACCTTGCTATGCTGACTCCCACAGGAATAAAAGCCAAGAGGAGCCCAATCAACAGCACGGCCAGGAAGAAAAATTTGGAACTTGATGCCCTGATAGGCTTATCTGCAGGTTTCTGTGTGTGTATCAGACTGATCTGAGGAGGGAAAGCCAGCAAGACTGTTACCAGTATATTTATATACACACATCCAAGTATACTTTCCCCACCAGCTGAATCTTCCATTCTCAGACATGCTACCAGCTACCACACAACCACCCTCCTTTGATGCACATGGGCTGAGAAGGGCTAAGATAAGAACACCTTACATTTTGGTCTAAGTCTCCAATTTGGATTAAGAACTCGGTCCAGGGGGCCTCATGCACTTGTGCAGAGTCAACAGACACGTCCAACCCAGCTTGGATTTTCCAGTTTGCTTCCAAATTTTTTAGCAGTTTTGCAAAATTTTGCCCAAGTTCTAAGCTGTGTTGCTAATACATAGAGTATTGCAGGAAAGTGTTGTAAAGTAGCTTTAGTGCATAAAAAGATTTTATTTAAAAAACGACAAATAATTGAAGAGGTAGTAACTGAAATGTGGCTTTGCTTGATTTCAAAGCAAAATTCTACCTTCACTTAACAGTACAAAACCTACAGAAAATGGAATGCCATTGCCTCATTCTAGTACCCTGCATCCACAGGTGTTTTTAGGGTTTTTTGTTTGCTTTAGATCACATGCATACCTAAATATCTATATTACAGAAACCATAGAGATGTGCTCAGTTTTCTTTGATAACCATACACCTCCATTACCTTTTTAATGTAAAAAATGATGAAGTATTTAACGGTTGCTATTGCAGGGAGAAGTGGTGAAAAGAAGGTTCCAATCCAGCAAATAGTCTGCCCATAAATGATTTCAAGGACATTGTCAGAAATTCTAAATTCCGGCAATCCAAACCACTGAAGTGGCTTGCAGGAGCAATGAGTAACTAACAACCTAAAACCAAAGAATATCATTAGCCCTAAATCTAAGTTATAGTGCTTAGATGAATTCTAACACATTTGGAACACACAGAATTTGTCATTTAAGCATTAGACAACAGAACAGAAAATATCTGAAGAAAAAACAGTCTCAAATATCAAAAGCTATACAGTCACCTGAATAACAAATAAGTGCTCAAACCACCAGAAATATGTTTATGTGTATTTTAAAATTGGTAACCTGGTTAGAACTAAGAGGAATTAATAACAGAAAAAAAGCAAATATGTTTCATATGTCATTTGCAAAATATGCTCCAAAAGCAGAGATACTTACTTTCTAGGAAAGTCCACAAACAGGGTCACAGCCAGAATTATAATAAAATCAAATATCATCAGTTTATACATTTCTTGTCCAACATCAGATTCCCAGCACTATAAAAACAAGTCAGGAAAAACAAGATTAGCAGTCTAAATAACAACTGAAAAATAAATCTGTCCATCACTAAAGCAACAACTGTCTCAACTAACACCATAAAGTTCAAATTAACTCCCATTCCTAAAATATTTCAAGTCTCAGAGCTCCCATGCCAAGCTTTTCACTTGTTTGTTTTGGTGGGTTTTGTTTGGTTTGGGTGATTGGTTATTTTCTCTTTGTATTTTTATTTTTTTTTTTTTGTGGGGGGGATGTTGAGGAAAAACCATTTGCCTTATTGGAGCAAAAAGCAGTGGCACAACTGTCTCCAAACATAGCCACCTCAAACAATACTCAAGGTAGACAGAAAATTTATGCTAAATGATCATCTGCCACTGGACTAATTCCAAGTTTTAGACAAACAAAAGATCCATGTAATAACTGTACTGGTTTGCACTGAGCAGTGAGAATCACCACCAGGTATAACGTGAACGGCAACCCCAGGGCTGATACTGAACACCTCCAGACAGGCAACCCTCATGGAAAACAAATCTCTGTTCACAAGCTCAGATGATTAAAGACCAAGATAAATCTGCTTACAGGATAGAGTTTGTAATTGTATCCACAGGGCTCACACTTGTCAGCGGCACAGTCAGAGATCTGACTCCACAGAGAGAACAAGAGAACACCAATGTTGGCCAAACGCAGGAAGACACACCTGGAAGAAAGGCAAAACTTATTTCCAAACCTGCTGAAAGAGAGCCATGCTAAGACTTGGCTCACTTTGCTCAGGAGTCCAAGGCAGCCTTGAAACACAAACGAGTCAAGCAGAGCTTCAACAGAACAGCCAGATAGATAATAAACACATTTCTTTCCTTAGTAGTGAGTTAAATTGCTTTTCATTCTCCCAGTTTTAGGCTACAGTCCCCTGATTCTTTTCTCAATGTGGTTCCCAGATCAGTCATTTCAGTTGCAGATCTTGATGCTGCAACTCTCTCAAGTACAATTTGGGAGGCCAGGTGACAATTCTGTGTGCAGCATTTCCACCTCATGTAGCTTCAGGCCTTCCGAGGCACTTAGCCAAATCAGAAATACAAAGGACAGGCTTGGAGAGTTCAGATGCTTCAACCCAGGTCTCACTGCCTTAAGCTGCCAAACACCAGTTCTTCATGCTCTCACATGGAAGTATCTTCTACCCCAAAACTTTTAACTTCGGCCTTGAGCAAAGCTGTGCTTCGGTCACTGCTGTACACACACATCTGCTCACTTGAGGGAACTGCTGCACACAAAGCAGTGGGAATCCACTGCTCTGCAGCCACAAATTCTTTACTGACTATTCAGGTTGTTGAAGTTCTCCAGACCACAGAGCTAAATGGGATTGAGAGAAAAACTTGGACATTGAGATGACTGCACTGCACTGTCATCAAAACAGATTGTTCCCAGATGTAACGTTTCCAGCTAAGCATTAGCCAAACAATGCCTGCTTGGTTTTCATCACCAACTTCTCTGCTTCCTGATATTTCAATGTTTACAACACACATAACCTACCAAGAACAAGTTTTTTAAACATCCAAAGCAACAACAAAAACATCTTTACCTCATGAGTGTCAGTGTGATCTCAAAGGCTGGTAAAAAATCTTCAAATCTGATTAGAAATGAGAAGATCTGAGGACCAATGAAGTTGGACAATGTGATCACTATTGAAGGCAAATACTGCACTAAGAGATTAGCCAAGAAGTTCGTATTGCTGATGTCCTGCACAAGAAGAGATGAGAGAAAGATAATACTTAAACACACCTTCCTGACATCGTGCTCTCTCCAGCTACCCCCCTGGTCTCTCTTGTCCAGCACTCAGGTACCATCTTTTACTCTGTCTGCATTCTCCACCTACATTTGCACTGAGCAGTAAGAATCAGGTATAACATGAATGGCAAACCCATCTGACTCCAAATACCTCCAGACGAGCAAGTTTCATGGAAAACAAATCTCTATTCTATATACTACAAGCCTGATCACTGCTATCTCTGCAGTTTGCTGCTACACACCCCTGCTTTCTCCTGCTCCTTTGACCAGTAACTCCCTCCACCTCCAGTTAAGAGTATTTCTGTGCTTCCCCAAAGCTTCTGTTTGAAATGTGTCTGACTATGTTGCTAATCAACACCAAGGCTACCAGGTTTTACACCTACCCAAAGTGTAAACACTTTTCAAGTTCTTCTCACTGCTGCCAAGCAGCTCCTCTGACTTTCCTACCAGCCTGACAAGCCCTTCTATCTGCTCATTTAGGCAAGGTCAGGATACAGACCCTTATGCACAAAGCCCACATTAAGTGAAGCTGGTTTTTAAGTTGTTCTGTGTTGTGTTGTCCTCTTCTCTGCCTTCAAACAATACCTCTGACACAAACAGTTAGTCCCCATTTCCTGCTTCTGTCTCTACAGTCCTTGCAGTTTACAGAAGTTAAGAGTTAGGTCCACCATGAGCATAACTTTAGCCATGCACAGCCAGGCCCATCACATCAGCAACAAACACAGGGGAGATAAAAAGCGCAGCCCCCATTCCTACCAGGCTGACTGAACCCTGGGGTCCCACAGAGAAGTTGCAAAACTGTCATAACTGTTGCCTGTTCTTACTCTGCTTCTGAACCACTGTTTTCGAATGCTTGTCCTGCCAGGGGCGAACAACCCCGCCCAACCTGATTCTTTCCCCTACTGTTGCAAGAACCTTTGACTTTGAAAACTTCTCTGTGTTCAAAGCCTTCCTGTTTCCCCACGTAGCGGTAACTCAAGTCACAACACAGATCACAATCTCTGCTCTGCCTTCCCTTGCAGTGCAGTTTCAAAGCTGAGCAGTGAATCAGATCATGTGAAGTTGATCACCATGAAGTTTGCTTTAAGCAGATCATTCCCTCAGCCAGTTCACTGCCCAGACCCAGCAGGTCACAGCGAGGTGAGCACAGTTACATGGGAAGGGTGATGAGGGCTGCTCTTCTTGTCACCTGCCTTAGCTCCAAGGCACTTGACACCAAAGCCTCTGCAGCAAAGGGGGACATTACTGGGCTTTTTTTTTTTTTTTTTTCTTATTTGCACACGGTTCTTGATCTTTCCTGCTCTCTCCTACTAAAAAGAATTGTAAGTCTGTACAAAGCATTTTCAGATCCCTTGCATAAAAGGTGCTATATTAAGATACTTCACTCTTTCACAATAGTTCCTCTTGCTGTAATGACCAGCCTCGACTGAATCTGTCCTAATGTCATTTCTGATACTCACATTGGACTTTTCTTGAGAGAAGACAGTCACTCTATAAATAGAATAAAAACATCCTGATAAAATGGCAATAACAATTATATTTATAAATATTCTCAGAGAGTAGATGCGTAGCTTTTCTTTTATTGTCCTGTCAGCAATTTTTTGCTTCAGTCTTTCTTCCTCCAAGTCCATCTACAAACAAAAGTAAAAAAATAAAAGAGATGCAGTTTTCTGGTGCAGCTACAACACCTGACACCACAACTTCTACCTCTGGGATGTGCAAATCCATACCCTGTTCTAGGAGGGCCAGTCCACCACCCACCCAAGCACACAGAAGTGTGAGTGCCTTTTCACTGACACAAAAGGGTCCACACAGGAATGAAAGTCCCTGTGTGCTCAGCCTCCTCAGGCTGAGCGCCCTGCAGCCAAAGACAAGTGTCTTGCAATCCCCTTATCTTTGCTGGATCAGTAACATATTTCCTTGAGGGCAGAAAGACAGTTTGCCTGTTCATCGTGACAGATAGCTTGGTACTAAACTCTGAAACAGAGTAAAGCAGCTCCCCCACCTCATTACTTCTGCAGGTAAGTAACCAGTCCTCACCAAAACTTCCTTCTCCTACTCATTGTGAAAGAAAATTGGGGGGTGGCACAGAGAGAAGGAAGCAGAGTCTTGAGCAGCTGTTCATGAAAACTTTACATATTTTGCCTTATCTGATGTGAAAATACAGTATTGCCTGTGAAGGCAATTTAACCTGGGCAGACCCACACATTACCCAGGTATTTTCTGAGGATTTATTTCCATCAAGCAGCAATATTAAGGGGCAAGTTCTTCTAAAGTGTGAGTTCTAGAGACAAAAGTGTGGTAAGTAAAGGAGGTTCTGGTTATACAATGAAAAAAGATGGCTGTGAACTTCACTAGAGCAGAAAGCAACTCACTGTAATTTATGAAAGCTGTAATTACTGCTTTGTGGTTTGCAGTGGAAGTATCTTCTCAAAGGTAATTGTTTCACTACACAAATCTCCATGTCGAGTGTGCAGAGAGCAAAAAGAAGGTACTTGTTTCACCAAAAAAGCCTTTCAGACTCTCTTTTCAGAGCTCTTGGGAAACCTGGAGCTGCATCAGCATTTTGTATGTGCATGTGTGCCAAAGACACCCAGTGAAAAATCTTTCAGATACTTTCAGTATCTTCTTACACTCTCAAATTGTATGAAGAGTACCATCTGAACTTCATTCCTCCCCAAATAACTGCCTACCACGTTGCACACTTAAAACCCAGAGTACTCAAACTGACTCCTGACAGTACAAGGGTTTTGCCCATAGCTGGGACAGCCTTTCCTGTTGGACTGTGCAGAAACTAACACAGGAAGCAGGACTGGAGTGTGAGGAAGAGGCAGATAAGACAAGCAGCCAACAGGTTGGCCTCAGTCCCCGGTGGAAGGGGGAAGGGCCGACAACCCCAATTCCAACTACCTAGAAAGCAAGAGGATGTGGGCTGCCCTGCCCCCAAAACAAACTGCTTTAGTCCTTATTAACCTTATTCCACTATCTGCAAAATTACACACCTCTCTATTTTAGCCACTTAAGCCATAAGAAACCATAATCACAGAAAGGTGAAAGTTACTCACCTGGAGCTCATATCGCAAGCTACGATGTTTTAGCCGAGCTGCGTTTGGATCTGTAATGCAGAAGTCCCAGCCTGCAAAGACTTTGTTACAGTAAGTCTGAAATGGGTCTGCATTATGCACTAAGCTCTGCTTAAATCCTTCCACAGACCTAGAGAAAAATGCAAGTTTATATAATTCATGAGAAGACATATTTTATCCACAGCAAAAAAGAAAACCACACCAAAGCAACCTGGCTGATCAAAGACTGAACTACCCTGTCTACAAGCAAACTGCTGCACTTGCTTTGCATCAGCAAGGCACTGAGAGGCTTTCAGTGAGAGGTTCTGCAGCAGCTGAACCTGACTGGCACAGGTTACTCCCCCCTGCACTCAGACACACTCACACCATCTCACCTCACCCTTCTCTGACACTGCAAAGAGCTGGCTCAGAAAACTTGAGAGGGTGAAAATAAAAGCCACAACCAAAAACCCTAAAAGAAAATCCCCCAACAACTACTAGTTGAGGGCCTTTTATTTATGTGTACATATGAAAAACTGATACTTCAAAATTTGTTGTTGTTGTTTTGTTTGGTTGGTTTTTTGTTTGTTTGGGTTGTTTTGTTGGCTCTGCTTCTCAAGCACAGACAAAAGCTACTGTGGCACTGCATCCTCAAGAAGAAGATTCGCTATTTTCATATAAAACAGTTCTGGAATGCAGTATGTTCCCTTGCAGTAGGAATACAATGTAAACTGTGCAATAGGTAGCAGTAAATAAACTACACCAACATCTTTACCTTTTTATTATCCAGAGGAGACTTAATGCAAGGTAGGCAAATGTAGCCAGGAGGTATGCCAGGGGCAAATTGTACCTCATGACACTGATCCATACAGTATCTACTGTGTAATAGCCATAGAACAATCTTGTCAGTTCAAGGAATCCCTGGGAAAACATGAATTTGAAACAGAATTTGTAACAGCAGCAGCAACTGCCCTGTTAAATCCAAACCAGCATCAAGCAATCATTTTGTAAATTTAAAATCAGGGCTCCCAGCAAGATACAGCAGTCTGTAGCTTCTAAATACTGCCACTGCTTCTACCAAACTGTGATGCAGACACTGTGTGATTAGAGTCTCTCCCCTCTCCAGAGCTCTAGGACACAACACTGGGACCCTACACAGAGAGCACAATAGGCACTGTGCTCCAGAATACATCAGGGTTTAGCAGCTGAGGAGGAGAGGCCAGGCTGCAGCACGTGGCCAGCCAGGCCTTGTGGTTGCTGAGCAATTAGTCAGTTTGAAAACTCCCTTTCTCACAGATAGAGGCTCATTTACCCCAGTGATGCATATGCCTTACCATTTTTCAGAATTATCAAAGCTTCGTTCCACTACTGAAATGTTTTCACATTTTAAATGTCACGCAAGCCACAGAAAACTAAAACAGAAAAAACCTAATTACTTACAGTGCCACTGAGCAAATCTTGGAGGTAAGTATAGAAGTAAACAAGTCCCTTATTACCACCAGGTTCATAAATTGTGCAGTTATACTCTGTAAAAAGAAAGGCACGAAAAGTCACTGAAATTGTAATGCCCACTGAACCGCAAGATCAAACGTGGCACATTCTTATAAAAAAACATTTCTTTGTTCTGGGAGGTGGAGGAGAAGCTGATGAAAAGGAGGAATCTTACAACAGCTGTACATAGAGAAGATGTTTACCTATGTTCTTTGGAGAAATGTTAGCAACGGTACTGTTGAATATTCTGTAGTCAGAAATGATGGTGGGAAGAGTAACAAAACTGAACATCAGGATAAAAATTATAAAATTCAGCAGGACCAGAAAACGCAGGAAGGAGAAGTAGGACTGGATGCCAGTACCAAATGTCCCTGGGAATAAAAGAAACACATGTCAATAATTAAGATGAGAAAATAATTGAAAATACAGAATGAGCAGATTATCATTTCAGTTACATTGAATTAACTGAAGAAACATTGCTGAAGTTCTAAGTACTTCAGACTTTTAGCAATATAATTGAAAAGGAAATTGGACTTTTAAATAATTTTCTCCAATATATTTCCTTCTACCACATCGTGGATTTTACACTCATCAGTAACAAGGGAAGAAATTAACTTCTTAAACACATGTAGTCATATCTGAAACTACACTCACACATGTAAAACTGCCAATTACAGAAGCAACTCTGAAGAGGAGAAATCAATATCAGACAACAAATACCTTCAATGCTGTGAATATCACGTCGCCAAAGCACCAGATAAGATGACAACCCCTTGGCTTCACTGAGGACTTTTCTCAATGATTTACTGCTAGCTTTCTTCCACTTCTTCCATTTAGATAAATATTTTATATCAGCCTGCTCAGAGTCCCTAAGAATCAAGAAATACAGTTACTGAGCACAAGAAGTAACTTTTCACTGCATGTAAGAGGGCCCAGCCCGACAGAGCCTGCCTGGAGCCTTCAGGGGACAGCACAGTGCTGGGAGCTGGAGTAACACACACAAACTGTTCCCATCTGGTCCTCCTGGTAATGGTGACATCAACTTCACTCACATACAGCAAGTTCTCTCACAAAAAACACTTGCCTCTCTTGGAGAAAAAAAAAAAACAAAACAAAACAAAACAAACAAAATAATTGACAATAGCACAACACAGAAAAAAATATGTATCTGAACTTCCCAGTGGGATCTCAGGGAAGTTGCCATTAATGACTTCATATTTACAGATGGCTGGAAAATGAAGAGAAGTTTCTTTCCTCAAAACTTCTGAAACTTCTGACCTCAGCATCTCCACCAAGAGGCTCTTAAAAAATTTCTCTATAATATTTATCCAAAGTATGTTGTGTAAAAAAAAGAAAAACAAAGAGAGAAAGCACACTATTGAGACTTAAATATTTCATTTGGATTTTATAATTCTGACGTTTGTATCACATAACAGAAAACAAATGTTACTAAAATAATTAATTTTTCATTATTCAGTTTTAATAGGTTTTGAAAAGTTTGCTGCAAAGTGCCGACTCAATGAATTTTAAAAAGTAGTTTTTGCCACATCTGGGGGTGCACTGTTCTAATAACAAGCTGCAAACAAACACTGAGGATGTGCCACTGTCTGTAAGTTTTAACTACTTCTCACTTATCGATTTTCATACTATATGCATACATTTGCATTTTAGAAATTGCTGCATGGTCAGCAACAGCATCAAAGAGAATTCTGAGTGGGTCAGAGTTTGCATTTTATTGTTTCTTTTAAGAAACCTGAAAAATAGACAAAACTTCCCAGAAAACTTGAAGATGGACTTGTACGAGCAAATGCTGTTCCAGCCTCTGATGCCACTGAAAAAGAACAGCAGTTCAGCACCCATGGACACCGTGCTGGAGTAGAAGGTAAAGGTTTCGGTTTTAAAAGACTTTGTACACAACCCTATCAAGTGCTTGAGTGATGCAAGTGCCACACCACTGCCGCGTGTATTGTTGCCCGTTTGGTTGTCCTACTCAGTTGAAAGTAAAACAAGCATTTTGGCAGGAATCCGAATTAAACCTATACACAACAATCAAACAGGCAGCAGATGACCTCAGCTTTAAGTGCAAATACAGCTCCTCTCCAAAGATTTCATTTAGTGCAAACCACAGGCTGCAGCACCGTCTGGCCCGTGTTAGGCTTGCATTTTAAATAGAGGCGTGGGCTGCATATTCATCTGAGTTACAGAAGTTGAGTGTTCAGCTTTCAGGACGTTTATACCAAGCACTTTGTGTTGGCAGCTGCTGCACAACATCCAGAGCACTGATCTGTAAAAGTGCCAAGAAGCCCCACCAGAATCTCTCAGTGCTAACATGTGTAAACAAGCTTGGGACATTGCAACTCCACTCCTCCCTCCAGTTCCTTTTTCGTAAAGAACTGAGCTTTAAATACCCAACTTCAAATAAAAATTCAAGGTATCGAGCACTTCCCTTTACCATGATCCAGATCTTCCGCTACTTCTTGAGTGCACATTATAGGGTTACACATAACTCCAGGGTCAGGCTGTTCCCCACTCCTCTTGCAAAAGAGTAACTCTTGTTCTCTCTGGAGTACCAGACATTGACTGCAGTTTCACCTCTCTCCTGGTTGATAACAGACTACAAGGTACCTGATTTAAAGGTGGAGCTGTTCCCTTACAGTATAAAACCACATCCTGTACCCTCCCTCCTCAAAGCAGCTTTCAGCCCAGCAGCAAGACATGAGACAACAAGCAGAGAAACCCAGGCGGGGATGAAGCATGCTCTTTGCAATCCCTCCAGGGGGCTACCACCGGGGGGGGGCAGGAACTGCTCACAGCGCACAGGAAAGAGCCATTTAAAAAAGAAAATTAAAAGAAAAAAAAAGGGGGAGGGGGAAGAAAGGGTCCTGAGACGCTTCCTTCCAACTGTACTGAGCCACAGCAAAGGGAGCGCAGTACATTGTGTAAGAGCAGCTAGGCAGACTCGGAGCAGCAGCACTCGCATAGCAGCAGATAACCCACAATGACCCTTGAAAGCACAAAACCCTACACCAAAAAAAAAAAAAAAAAGAAAAAAAGAAGCCAGTAAAAAACACGTTTGGCTGCTGCAGGTAAGACCCAGGTCCCAAGTTCTGACTCATTTCTTCCAATTCAAGTCGCCCCTGCCCCCAGCCCGCGACTCCCTCGTGCCAGCCAAGAGCACCCGGGCACCTTCGCGTCGGAACCACAGAGTGAAAACAGGAGCTGAACCCAGTTCTGCTTCAGCCTTCCAGCGCACCGGGGTCGTGTTTAGGAAAGGTCAATTAAAAACAAACAAACAAACAAAAAACGACAACAAGGGAAAAAACCGCGTTGAGGATTCACCTTAATCTCCTCTTCTCCGCGATGCTCAGCGGGTACTCCCTGGCAGGGCGCGCAGCGGGCTCGCCTCCATCCTGCTCCAGCGCCCAGGGCTGGGTGGCGGCGGGTCCGTGCGGGGCCGCCCGGCGCTCCCGGGTCCCGCCGCGCCGCCGCCGCGCCGAGCGGCAGCTGGGCAGCTCCTGCAGGAAATCCACAGGTGCGGCGCCACGCGGATCCTCGGCCGGCGACAGCCCTGCGAGGGGAGAGAGCGGGGGCTGCGGGGCGGGGGTCGCCTCAACAGGGCACCCGGGGCCCCGCGGCGCCGAGCGGGTCCCGGCCCGCCCGTCCATCCCCCGGCCCGCCCGCCCCGCGCCCTCACCGCTGTCCCGCTGCCATCCCGGCGGCTCCGCGGCCGCCCCGGCTCCACTCATGTCCGCGGGGGAAGCCGGAGCCCCGCGCCGGTGCCGCCGTTTCCGGGCGCGGCGGGGCCGTGGGGCGGTGGCTGCCGCCCAGAGCGGGGGCGAGGCCGCCCGCGGGGCCGCCTTCCCCGCACCCCGCCCGCCGGGCTCACGGCTCCGAACGCCGGGCTTTCCCTTCCTCTCGCTTGTTTCTAAACTCGGGGTACACCAGCAGCTCACCCTCGTTGCAATGAGGCAAGGCTCATGCGCCCCCGGGTGCGGGGCTCTGCGTGTTGTAGCTGCTGGGCATCTCTCACCGACGCTTGTCCCGTCAAATGGCTTTGTTTCAATGTCTTCTGCTGCTCTGTTAAACGCCCACGCTCGTGGTGGGTGCTGTAAAAATTACAAACTCTTGACACTTGGTCAACTCTCATGAGGTCACGAGCCCGAGGTGTCATCTCTTTCTGAATGACTGGATCCAGTGGCACAGGACACAGTGGAAACAGCCAGCTTCACCCCTGACTGTGAAAACTCAGTATGAACTGGAGCAAGCAAAGTAGATGCTGGATCTCTTTTTCCATCTGAGAGTGAGGGTTTTGTGTTAGCTTGTACTAAACATCTCAGAGAGATTTATTTCTTGGAATAATTCTTGCCTCTTGTGTGACCAAAACCAAATGAAACCTCTAGTAGGTTCAGCAGCTTTAGGTGCTGGGTGAAAAAAAAAAAAAACATATTTTCTAGCATTTCTTACTGTGTTCTACTGGTAGTTAAACTGATAAACAGATTTTTCTGAACATTCCTCATCCGCTTTTTGCCATAGTTTTAAAAATAAGTTGTTATTAGGCTTCAGAATGCTGAATCAGACATAAATGAACACGTTTCTTCTGTTACATGTGTGTCATCAGCTCAGGTATATAATTTTCAAATTGCTTTATTAGCAGTAAGAATCTATGTGGATCATCTGTTTTCATAATAAAACAATAAAATGTTATTGATAAAAATGTAGGCTCTCAAAGTAATTTAGATGTACATGCTTATAATCTGTGTTACTGGCAGAGGTGAAAGATATAACTTAAGGGGAATTGTTGTGAAATACAAAGACATGGAATTAAAGCATGGCAACTTCCTTATTGCACTGAATGACTTAAGAAAACAAATCAAGAAACCTACCTTGAAGGTATTCTTGCCTTCATGCCAGTAGGCTGGTCTTTGACAATTGGACTTGATGATCTCAAAGGTTTCTTCCAACCTTGATGAGTCTATGATTCTATATCTAATATGTTTTTTAGCTATTTTTGATGAGAACCAGTTATAACTTGCCCTCATCCTCCAATAAGTCATTCTGGAGGCCTGTTGCTTTTTTCCCTTCTTGTTTTCCCAGATCTCCAGGGTGGTTTTGCCCAGGTGGTTTGTTTTTGGGTTTTTGTTGTTTTGTTTTTTTTTTTTTTTTTTTTTTTTTTTT